ACCACTCAGATCTCTAGCTAGCTCTCTAAGACTCTTAAGTTGCAGTGGAGGAGTGTCATTGTCTGGAAGTCCCTTGTACCAGTGAAATCGCAGGTCCGTTTCCTATCCTTAGAATTCCTATGTTACTCCAAAACCTCCATGACTTGTGATTTCATTGATGTCCTGGCACAGGTCACCATGCCTCTATGATATAAATAGGTCTTTGAGAGCTATTGTGACTGAAAACCTAGTGGTGCGGTAGATAGGCACTGGGGGCCTAAACTCATCTTCCCCAGTTCAAATCTGGCCTCAGACAGTTATTAGCTGTGTGACCCTGGGCAAATCACCTACTCCCTTGTGCCTCAGTTTCCAAATCTGTAAAATGAGCTGGAGAAGGAAATGGCAAACCACACCAGTTATCTTTACCAAGAAAACCCCAAACAGGGTCATGAAGAGTCAGGCATGACTGAAAACAACTGAACAATAAGAAGTGGCTGAAAAATTCATCATTATATGGCAATTCTGGTGATGAGCATTGCATAATGTGGCCAGCTTGGTTTCTGGACTAATAGACGTCGTCCAACATTTGGCCCATCCACCAAGCCTTGTGAGCTTGGCAGGACCTTTCAGAGCTTGTTCTTTATTGGCTAAGCCTTTAAGAACCCCCACATTGCCTCCCTACCACAACGGGCCACTGAAGGAGAGGGACTTTAGTAGAGTCATTGATAAGCTAAGCTAGGAAAATGTCTTCATATTTCAAGTGCTGTTCTTGGCATCTTCAGTTCTGCAATTGGTGCAGGGTTACTCCTTTATGTGCCTGACTCATATGGTCCACCTATAACCTTTCAGGCTTTCTGCCATTACCAAGTTGGACTATGATGTGTGTGTGTATGTGTATATACATACATATACATATGTATGTATTTTTACGTATACACACACATGTACATGTACTTAGATACATGTACATATACATTAATAGTTTAATGCTTTATTGACATATGGATCAGCTAGAAGCTATGGGATACAGTTGAAAGCACTAGATTTTTACATATATACGTGTACATATACATTAATAGTTTAATGCTTTGTTATCATATGGATCAGCTAGAAGCTATGGGATACAATTGAAAGAGCACTAGATTTGGAGGCAGAGGAACTAGATTAGAATCCTGCCTCTGTGCCTTAATATCAGTATGACCTTGAGCAAACTATGCCTCAGTTTCTTTTTCTTTAACATGAGGAGTTTGGACAAGACGCCGTCTAAGGTCCAGCTTTAAATCTATGATACTATGACATTCATGCTATCTAATCTCAGCCAGGTCCTCACCACAGCTAGACAGTCCTATCATTGATTTTTTATGCTCTACATCCACTGCAAAACTCTCTTCTTTCCTCAAGCCTCTCACAGCATCCCCTTGCCCCAACTCTCTCAACAGAGGACTATGAGAAAATAGAGACCATTCAAGATGAGCTTCGTCTTCTCCCCCTTTCTATATCGCATGACCTGTTTACATGTCCTCCATTCCTTCCTCCTTTTTTTCAGTCTCTGATGAAAATGTGGTCCTTGTATGTATGTATATATGTGTGTATATGTACGTGTGTATGTATCTATCTATCTCTATATATAAATATATCCACACTTAATTGTAGCCTTCTGACGTGGGGGGAGGGGGAGAAAGAAGGAAAAAAGAAGAAAGTAAAAAGTGAACAGCAGAGAACAGAAGAAAACTAACAAGGAAGCAAAGAAAAGATGGACAGCTCTCTACAAAACATGTAGTATTTATTACACAGGCTTTCTTGAAATGAAAATTTATTGCTATATATTTTGAATCCTTTCATGTTTTGCTGTGTACATGGCATGGTTTTTTTCCTTTTTTTTTTTTTAGGCAATTGAGGTTGACTTGCCCAGGGTCACACAGCTAGTAAGTGTGTCCAGGGCTGGTGCTCTATCTACTGCGCCACCTGGCTGCCCCCTTTTCTTATTTTGTATTTAAGTTTCAATACTTAAATTTATAATATGTTTCTTTTTCTTTTCAAATTGTGTATTTCAGTAATAAAAAAAATAGAAAAAAAAGAAAACGTGACTCTTCTTATGAAGGCCAACCCTTCTACTTGTACTCTTGATGCCATCCCCTTGTATCTCCTCCAGTACATTGGTCCCACAATCGTCTTCCTTTTCTCTTTTGTCTTCAGTCTCTTCTACTGACTTTTCCCTATGCTTCCTACAAGTATACCAAGGCTTTCCCCATTCATTAAAAACAAACACAACAACCTTTTATTTGGCCTTATCAACCCCTTAATCCCTGTCATCCTATATCTCTTAAACAGTACACAGACTCCTAGGAGGGGAAAAATCATTCTATTTTCTTCATCTGCACTTCATTTTTTCTCAACCCTTTTCCATCAGACTTTTGACCTTATCACTAAACTAAAGCTGCTTTCTCCAAAGTTACCTTGGGTCACGCCCTCATTACTTCGTACCTCAACTATTGGAATAACCTCCTAATTGGCCTCCCCATTCCCCTCTCCAATTCTTCCCCCTTGGTGTGGCCAAATTGACGTTCCTAAAATACAGACTTGACTGCGGCCCTCCTCTTCTCTACAATCTTCAATGACTTCCTATCATCTCTAGGATAAAATACAAAATTTTCAGCCAAGAAATTAAAACATGGTGGACCTTTCCAATCTAATTTCATATTCCTTCCCTTCACACACACTCTACTCTCTTTTGAGATTTGGACCCAGATTTTAGACTATGAGAAGTCATGATTATGGAGCTTCTGCCTCTCTCACCATACTCATCTTGCTGTTTGACTAATATATGAGAGCAGATTAAACTAGCCACCAGAGGTGTACATCTTATATTGCCTCTTAGAGGTGTCAACAGGACCAGAACTGGCCTCTTACCTGTGGGTGGCCAGAGCAAAACAAAGCAGGCTACAGACAGGGAGTGAGGAATCAAAGAGAAGCTTGATTTCAAAGTGAGGAAAATGGCTAGCAAGCAAGGACACACGTGTCAGCCCCCATCCCCTCTTCCCTCTCTTAGTGGGACGGACCCGCCTTAATGTGGGGAGGTCTCAACACTCATGGCTACACAGTGAGATATAGCTCTGACGAGGAGGTATAACAACAACATGATTCACAGCAGGCCTTCATGACCAGAAGCAATTCTGGGATTTACCTGTGGCTGAGATCATCCAGAGGGTGAACACAAAGGATTGTTGTTGTGCCAAGCTCAGGGCATAGCTTGCTTGCTGGGCCTTAGCTCTGGAAAACAGGGTATCTCCTAATATATTGACAGACACAACTAGGTGGTGCAGTGGGTAGTAGAGTCAAGAAGGCCTGCATTCAAATACAGCTTCAGATGCTTCTTTGCTGTGTGCCTCTAAGCAAGTTACTTAACCTCTCTTTGCCTCAACCTCCTCATCTGTAAAATGAGGACAATAATAGCATTTATGAATGGGTGCCATTTGGTGGCTTTATTGCCTATCACCTGGTACTAGGTCACAGATCCAGGGCAGAGAGTAGTCGTGAGCAAGGGCACTAGCCATGTACTGAGCAAGGAACAAGTTTGGGAAGCAAACAGTAGCTGCTCCTTCCTTCCTTCCTTCCTTCCTTCCTTCCTTCCTTCCTTCCTTCCTTCCTTCCTTCCTTCCTTCCTTCCTTCCTTCCTTCCTTCCTTCCTTCCTTCTTTCTTTCTTTCTTTCTTTCTTTCTTTCTTTCTTTTTTTCTTTCTTTTTTTCTTTCTTCCTTCCTTCCTTCCTTCCTTCCTTCCTTCCTTCCTTCCTTTCTTCCTTCCTTCCTTCTTTTTACCAAAGAACTGTGATATATGAAAATGGCAAGTTTCATGAACAAGAAATCAAACCAAAAAGTATCTAATAACCTTTACCAAAAGGGAAGAAAGTGACTTTTTTGAGTCATTAAAATAAATAACAAAAGCCTAATTTCTTCTGGTTCCTAAGTACTGAGTGGCTGTTTGACTTTACCTTTCTGGGGCTTGTTTTCTCACCTATAGAAGGAAGGAGTTGGGCTTGAGGATGCCTTTCAGTTCTAAATCCTATGACCTTGTGATCATACAAAAACAATACTGTTTACCTGGAAAGATACCTCCCTCCCTTCTTTGTAGAGGTAGGGGACCATGGGTGTGGAACATTGAATGTATTGTCAGACTCCGTTTATATGTTGGTTTTGCTGGGATTTGCTTTTTTTCTGTATTATTTATTCTTTCAAGTCAAATGTGAAAGAGAAAAGTCCACTGTTACTTAAACTGTTACTAAACTCTAATTTCCTGTGGAGAGATGGGGTAATTTTGAATTCCATAGCCAGTGTGATCCAGCAATCTTGTCTTCTAGCCAAAGAAGCAAGATTTCCTGGGTGCCATCAACTTTGGAGGTTGCCTCATAGATAATCCCTGTTCAAGAATTCTTTAAATGCTTGAGTACAGATACCAGATTTTCTAAAGGAAGATTTCTCAATGGAGAAAACTTCTTGGAAAAAAGGAGAAAACAGCCTACATGATTCTTTCATGGCTATATAGTTCTAAGGACCTATAGGAACCTATAAACAAATACAGAAATATTTATATTTCTATAATTTTTATTTATATGATATATTACATATTTATATAATATATATATAAATATTATATAGAGAAATATAAAACTCTCTCTAGAAGGGAAGTGAACTTGGGATTGCTATCAAAACAATCTTCTGTTATTCTAGTTATTCCCTCTTTCCCACAGTCTTTCAAAGGCTCATAGTACCACCCTATTGTTTAGACTCCTCCTGGAAGATCCTTGGATTTGTTCTGGGAAGTTTGGATTCAGTCAAAGGGTCACACTTGAGGACCTAGAAGGCCACATGTGGCCTCGAAGCCACAGATTCCCCACCTCTGTCTAGGGTATATCTCAGTTAGGCTGTCCTTCTAAAACTATAGCTCACGAGCCCTCATCAGTGTACTTTCCATTTATAAAAAGTCAGTAGATACAATTAATTCAAAGCAAAAGCATTTACTGAGATGACATAGTAAGGATAATAGCTATGACCACAAATACATATAAAATTTAGAATACAACAGTAGTGAGACACATGTGTAGAGGACACATATTGCCAAGGCATTTCACAACTCCAGTACTGAAGGTCTTTAAGGTTTTCCACATCTCATGGTGTCCTCATGCTGTTCTTCGAAACCTCAGTTCTGTTCGACCTTATATGGTTTGTTTAACCTCTGGGCCTCATTTTTCCCTTCTATAAAATGAGGGAAATGAACTAGATCAGGGTGAGCAAACTCTGACGTAGGTGCCAAATTCAGCCTGCAGTTTGCTTTCACAATCTTCCTGTAAGTTAAAATAATTTTTTCATTTTAAAATAAGATTTTATTCTATTTTAAAATGTAAAACAACATTCCTAGCTGGGAGCATACAAAGGCAAGCCAGGTAGATTTCGCCCTTGGGCCATACCCCAGACTATATGATCTCTAACATCTCTTCCAGTGCTGACAGTATGGTCTATTAAGCTTAGTCAATAGGGGAGTATGGGACATGTTTCGGAAAACTTTTTATTTTTCATTTGTTTATTTATTTTAAGGCAATTGGGGTTAAGTGACTTGCCCAGAATCACACAGCTGGTAAGTGTCAAGTATTTGGTCTGAGGGTGGATTTGAACTCAGGTCCTCCTGACTTCAGGGCTGGTGCTCTCTATCCACTGTGCCACCTAGCTGCCCCTTCAGAAAACTTTTTAAGGAAACTGAGGTATGTGGGCAGACACTGGCTTGGAGATCATCCAGGTTAGGTTTCTAGATATCTTGATTACTATTAATGTATGATAACTCCTCTCTCCTTTCGATGCTAAGTAGGATGTAAGTTCTCGGTAGATAGGATTTATCTCTCTTTTGTCTTCTTTCATTCCCAGCGGCCAACTTGATAAATACATGGTGCTGATTTGTTTAATATGGACCTTTGGATTCACTAGCCTACTACATGTCTACATTCTTCTGTGTCAGCTTGTTTGTGGAAGTCAGAGAAAATCACTTTAGTCACCCCCAAATCTTACTTCTCTATTCCTTGTTCCCTTTCAAGGCATCTTGACTTTTACTTCAGTTTAGTATGGGGTAACCAAACAATCAATAACTTAAGGAACTGTCTTCAGCTGCTCAGGAATACTTGAGGGAATGTGAAAAGCGAATTATCCTCAGATACCCAGGTCTGATTTTAGTTTGTACAGGGCAAAGACAATCCCGAATCCTAAAAGGGAAAAGGGGGAATGAATGCTTTGGTCATTTCAGATTCATGTGAAAATGAGCCCAGTGAACCCCTGCCAGCTTTGGTTTACAAAATCCTTATGGATTTAATGTTGTTTACTTCACCCTTAAGCTTTAATATTATATTTACACGCCAGTAGTTACAATCTCTCTTTTCGACACAATGACTCTTTGTGTAGACATGGGATTAACGTAGGGGAAGGAAGAGCTGAGTCAATCACAGTCTACTTTCTCTTGCATACAACGTTTCAGTGTGCATTTAGAACAGATTTTAAAAATGAAAGGGGCAGCTAGGTGGAGCAGTGGATAGAGCACCGGCCCTGGATTCAGGAGGACCTGAGTTCAAATCCAGCCTAAGACACATAACACTTACTAGCTGTGTGACCCTGGGCAAGTCACTTAACCCCATTGCCTAGCAAAAACAAAACAAAAATAAATGAAGGAAGAGGCAACCTACTACAGCAGAAAGAGCCTTGGATTTGGAGGCAGAAGACCTGGGACTAAATTTCTCATCTGCTACTTCTTGTTGGACAGGTCACTTCCTCTCTGAGCCTCAGTTTCTTCCACTGTAAAATGAAGAGCTCATTTAGTATAGTCAATTTTAGTTAAGTAAGATTTGATTCAATTCAGTAAACATTTATTAAGCACCTACTATGTGCGCAAAGCATGTCTGTCAGGGAGATAAGATGATCTAGGGCAGGGCTTCTTAAACTTTTTCCACTTGTGACCCCTTTTCGCATTTTGGCAGTGTTTGTTGGGGCTTTGTGGTGTGAGGGCATATGCAGTGCAAATTCGCATGCCATATGTTCAAAACCAAGGATGCAGTGAAGTTCTACAATGCAACATTGGCAAATACTGCCAGAAGCACCTCGGTTTCATTATATATTTGATATTTAATTAATTTTTGGTTGTTGCATATTCAGAAACCCTTTACTGTTGCCTAATTTTTCACAACCCCATGCAACCCACAGTTTAAGAAGCACTGAAGGGTATAGATTGGTAGAAAACATGAGTTCAAGTTGTACTTATTACATATATTGACTGTATGTGACCCTAGGCAAGGCACTGAACCTCCCAATGCCATAGGCCAGTGTTTCTTAAACCGTGGGTCTCGACCCCATATGCGGTCAAGAAAAATTTGGCAACAGTAAGAGGTTTCTGAACGTGCAGCAACCAAAAATTAAAAATCAAATGCGTAATGCATCCAAGGTGTTTCTGACAATGCTTGCCCATGTTGCATCATGCCACTTCACTGCAGCCTTGGTTCTGAATACAAAGCATGCGCACTTTGTACTTTGCATGCCCTCAAGCTGCATAACATGGAAATCAAAATGGGGTTGCCAGTGGAAAAAGTTTAAGAAGCCCTTCCTCAGGCAACATTCTAAGGCTTTAAGTTGTAAAGCAAATGCCAGTCTACACTGGTAGAGAGAGTTTCCTCACTAATTTAATAATAGCTAACATTCATTGTTGTTTAGTCATTTTCAGTCATGTCCTACTCTTTGGGACCCCTTTTTAGGACTTTCTTTGCAAAGATACTGGAGTGGTTTGCCATTTTTCTCCAGCTCATTTTACAGATGAGGAAACTGGGGCAAACCGGGTAAGTGACTTGCCCAGGGTCACACCACTGGTAAGTATCTGAAGCTAGATTTGAACTCAGGTCTTTCTGACTCCAGGCCAGGTCCTCTGAGGCTACTGAGTCACCTAGATGCCCTGGAACACTGGCCCTTTAGATAAGGGAGATACAAAGACAGAAAGAACAAGCAACCCCTATGCTGAGCTGCTCAGCAATGTCTTAATTATTTCTACATGGATACATCAGGCAAGATGTCTCAAGATTCTGATAGGAAATGGGAGCCCAGGACAGCTTTGTAGAAAGTCTTGTTTCAGATCTGGACTTCATTCACATCATCTTCTCACGTTCTTTCTGAGAACCTTGTTGCTTAACATTCATCCCAGAAAGAACAAGTAATCATCACAAACTACGAAACTGGTTGGCAGGATATCAAACAGCCGTGTTCATTTCGTCTGTTGTTTACTTTTAAAAAAAATTTTTAACCACTGCACATACTCGTCCTTTTGGTCTGACTGGCTGGTTGTTTGGGTGTCTGGCTATACATCAAGGTAAGAGAGAATTGTCTGACCCTGAAGGTAATTTGACTGTTGTGCTTTGAGAAAAAAAAATGTCTCTGAAAAATCAGAAACTGAAACTATTCCAATGTTGTAGCTAGGATTCTGGAGAACATCAGATTTAGGCACTGAGATGTTCTTCAGCTGTGCCATCATTGGATCAAGAAATATTTATTGAGAGCGTGCCTACGTGCACAGCACTGTGGGAAAGAAAGAGAATCACAGAAGCTGGAAGGCAATTTTGAAGCCATCTAATCAACTTGTACCTGAACAAGCATTTTTTCTCTAATATCTCTGACAAAACAGTTTTCCAGCCTCTGCTTACATCTCTAAAGTGATGAGAAACCCACCATCTCCTGAAGCAATCTAGGTCACTTTGATTGATTGTTAATACATTGTGTTGGGCTACTCTTCCACATCGCAATCTCTTGCTATGGGTGTTTAACACATCCAAAGCTGAATATATTGTCTTTCCATTCAAATCATCTGTTTTTCCAAATTCCATTATTTCTGCCAAGGCACCACCATCCTTCTAATTACTCAGGTTTGTAACCTTGGTATTATACTATAATCCTCATTCTTCCTTATCCTAGGTGACCAATTAGTCACTAAATCTTGTCATTTCTATCTTCATGACATCTCTTGTATTCAGCTCTTTCTTTCTACTTACACAGTAACCATATCAGTTTAGGTCTGCATCAGCATCAATCAATAAGCATTTATTAAGCACCTACTATGTGCTAGACAGGCAGCTAGGTGGTATGGAATAGCGGTGCTGGGCCTGGAGTCAGGAAGTTCAAATCTGGCCTAGCTGTGTGACTCTGGGCAAGTCACTTAGCCCTGTTTGCCTCAGTTTGCTTATCTGGAAAAATGAGCTGGAGAAGGAAATGGTAAACCATTCCAGTATCTTTGTCAAGAAAACCCCAAATGGGGTCACCAAGAGTTGGACATGACTGAAAAATGACTTAACAATGACAAGTGATTCAGAAAAAAAAAATGGAGATTAGTATATGAGATAAGGCTAGGGAAGCAGAGTAACTTGACTGTCATTATAATCCATTAAATAGATGAGGGATTTGGAGGTGATCTTCTCTTGCAGGTTTTTCTCTCTAATTCTTCAGACATCAAATGTGTCTGCAGCTGTTGAGCATGCTCACTTGAATATATCAGGGTTCAAAGCTTTAATTGTTAGAAATAAAGTTCTGGATTCTATTTCTGTGGTTCTTTTCCCTAACTCTTCCCAAAGAGTGCTAGCACTGAGACTCAGGACGGTGTCCCATTATGATGTAAGTCCCGTTCACTAGAGGGAACGACTCTGATGCTAATCTAAGTCTCTTGGAAGCAATTTCCTACTTTCCCAGCACTCCTTAGATGGGTATCCCTTCGTGCTAATTGAAGGAAAAATCACTTTCCATAAAAAAAAAACAAATCAAAGAAACTATTTTAGACTTTCATAAGTGTCTAGTCCCATTCTTCGTGCAAATACAAGGAAAAGATTTTCTTTTAAATTTTTCCAGCTAAGCATCTTACCTGCTCTTTTGCAAGTTTCCAGTCATATCCCTTAGAGAAACAAAAGGCTATTTTTCTCAATAGGTTTTTTGACCCTTTCTAAAACACTGATCCTCATATTTTATTTTTTGCCTCCCTTTTTATCTTAAAAAAAATTCAATTTGTGAAGCTGTGTTCCCAAACGCAAAAGTTAGTTCTCTTTTCTTTTTGACAGTGATCTTACCTGTCTCAAAGCAAGTTTTTTCTGATGCGGAGATTTTGAGTTTAGAGTATTAGATTTTTAAGTAAGAAAAGAACAGGAAGCCCTGTCTAGGGACTAGACCATTAATGTTCCTGGTTTCATCACCTATTTCCTGTGACTCTGGGAAAAGGATTTATGTTTTCACAGTAAAATGAGGCTAATATTTGCTTCCTACTTCAGGCATACTGTAGTATTTATGTGGGCATTTACCTCCTGTAATCCATGTCATGGATCACAGATTTCTAGAAAATCAATCAATTTATCAATAAGTATTAATTACCTTCTATGTGCCAGGTACTGTACTAAAAACTGGAAAGACTCCAATATAATGTTCATTATTTTTTTTAATCTTTTTTTTTTAACAAAAAGTATTGTAAACTTTTAAGAAAGTCAATGTAAATAGTTGGGCTATAAAGAATAGCAAATCTCTTAGACTGAGTGGACTGTGTGCCATGCTTTTTTCAAGCAGGTACACATATGGATGTGTGAATATCAACACAGAATTTTTGATTATGAATGGAATTCAGAGGAAATACCACACAGTTGTGAAAACCGAGATCTTTCCCCTTACAGAAGAGTCATTCACTGGAAGCCATAAGAAAAGTTACCAAGTTTCCTCAGTGAAAATCAATCAAAGAGGTGGCCGAAGCTGTGTCAGGTCTTTTTGAAGACATTGACATTTTACCTACTCAGCCAATTATAAAAGGTTCCTTCGATCATATAGTTAATCAACTGGAACCAATTAAAACATGTCCACACATGTTTTCCATTCTCTTCCCTTCTACACCATCATGATAATCCCAGAAGCAATCTTGCCAGGGCTCTCTATGTGAAGGTTAAATCAGCTGATGGGGTCTGAGCATGTGCCAGACACCTATTACATATAGGAAAGTTGATCAGTGGGCCAGATTACGTAAACAAGACCCAGAAACCATATTAGCATAATATTACATAAAACCCAAGAACTCCAGCTACTGCTGTAAGGACTCACTCACAAAAAATGCTGGGAAAACTGGGAAGCAATCTGACAAAAATTAGACATATCAAAATCTCACATCATATACCATAATTTTCTCCAAATGGCTACATGAACTAAATGAAAGGGTCATATGCTAAACAAATGAAAGGGGAAGGGGAGGATATACCTTTGACAATTGCTGTTAGTGAGAATTCTTGAATAAACAAAGGATAAAGATAATCCTTCAAAGGGATAATTTTAATTATATAAAATTGAAAAGCTTCCAAACAAACATACTAGAAGCAGAACATCAAGATTAGAAAGGAAACAGTTAACTGGTAAAAAAAAAAACTTTGTATTTTTTTTCTGCTACAAGTCTGATATTTAATATGTAGAATAAATCAATATAAATATAGATGTGAAAAAGAGCCAATAGACAAATGGCTGAAGTATTCAAAAAAAAAACATAAGCTATTGTATAAATTATATATGGCTTATATGGTAACCACATAAATGATGTAAAATGCTCTAAATCACTAATAAGTAAAATGCAAATTACCTCACACTCATTGGTTTGTCCAAAAAGAAAAAAAAACAATTGTTGGAGGGGCTGTGTATGTGAGAGAGAGAGAGAGATAAGGAATACACTAATGCACTAACGTATTGTTGGCATTCTTTTTTTGTTGTTGTTGTTATTTTTTGTTAGGCAATGGTATGAAGTGACTTGCCCA